AATAGCCATCTACTGGTAAGTCCAAGTCTAGGGTTAGGGTGTCTTCCTCTTATCCCTTTCCATTTGCTAGATGGAAATCAACGGGAGACTCCCACGTGTTCCTGATTCCCAACTCCTGGCCTTGAGAGGAGAAAGTCCACTCTTAAGTGGGTGACTGAGCATTAATCTTGAGAAAGGTATTAAAATTCAGGCTCCTGTTTACCTCCAAAGGCCTGATTATTATGCAGTGAAGTCTTTTTTGTGTGTGTGTGCCAGAAAGTTAATTGTCTCTGATCATGTCATAAACCCTTTGATTTCCAGTAAAACCATGTTAGCTGTAAGTGTTTGACACTAGCAGCAGTGTTAGAATCAAATACCTGTTAAAGAAAAAAAGTGTCCTTAAGGCTCTCATTCCCCTCCTCCCTCTGGATGTACATCCCGCTAGACGTCTGTAGCTTTGAATGCTTAGCTTGCAGCTTCTACCTCTTGCTGCCGCTCTGGGCGTTTTTCCTCCTTATCAACTTTACTATCACCAATGTGTAGAAAATGTTAAATTGCTAAGTCATGTCCAACTCTTTGCGATCCCATGAACTGTAGCCCACCTTTGTCCTCTGTCTATGAAATTCTTCAGGCACGAATACTGGAGTGGGTAGCCGTTCCCTTCCCACTGGCTTATTTTTTTGGACCACATTTTTGCAAAACTGCATGTGCGTTTCCCTCCGCACACTTGGGTGAGAGTCGTCTGAGGGGAGATTCATCAGAGAAAAGATGAAATGGCAGCACGTCTACCTCGGGGTTTAAAGATAGCGGGCTCAGGTCCCAGCTCTCTGATCTGACACGTGAGGGCTTGGCTGGGGGAGCGCTGTGGTTCTGCACCTGGCTGTCCCCGTGTTGCTTACACGAGAGGTGGGATGGAGAGCCATGAGAGAGAGCTGACAAGCTCCTGCTGGGGTGATGGACATCTCCACTGGGGAGTCTTCCGAATGGCTCCCGTGTGGAGGTCTGGTTAGGCCCCGTGATACCACCTACTCTACAGGAGATGAAGTGGGCGAGGGAGCCCCTCTTGAGTTGAATGAATAAAAACTGACTCTCCGCAACCTCTGTTTGCCCCTTGTTTCCCACATTTTGGAAATCTTATCTGCATCTTCACGATAGTTGTTTGCTGACCTCCTGTATGGAGTAAGGTGAATGACAATAAAAGAGCTTTTCACAGAAAGAAGTGAGCCTTGATTAATGTTTTTGTTTTACTTTATGAAATGTTTAATTTATTTTGGCCACACTGGGTCTTAGCTACATCTTAGCTGCGCCATGCAGGACCTTCACTGGGGCATGAGGACTCTTATTTAAGGCATGCATGCATGCGGGGTCCAGTTCCCTGACTAGGGATCAAACCTGGGCCCACTGCATTGAAAGTGCAATGTCTTACCCACTTGACCACTAGGGAAGTCCCAGATTTACATTTTTCAAAAGGGAGGAGACATATGTATACATATGACTGATTTATGTTGATATCACTTCATGGCAAATAGATGGGGAACCAATGGAAACAGTGACAGACTCTATTTTCTTGGGCTCCAAAATCACTGCACATGGCGACTGCAGCCATGAAATGAAAAGAAACTTGCTCCTTCGAAGAAAAGCTATGACAAACCTAGACAGCATATTAAAAAGAAGAGACATTACTTTGCCAACAAAGGTCTGTATAGTCAAAGTTATGGTTTTTCCAGTAGTCTTGTGTGGATGTGAGAGTTGGACCATAAAGAGGGCTGAGTGCCGAAGAATTGATGCTTTTAAACTGTGATGTTGGAGAAGACCCTTGAGAGTCCCTTGGACTGCAAGGAGATCCAACCAGTCAGTCCTAGAGGAGATCAACCCTGAATATTCATTGGAAGGACTGATGCTGAAGCTGAAACTCCAATACTTTGGCCATGTGATGTGAAGAGTCCACTCATTAGTAAAGACCCTGATGCTGGAAAAGATTAAAGGCAGGAGGGAAAGAGGGTAACAGAGGATGAGATGGTTGGATGGCATCACTGACTTGAGGGACATTAGTTTGAGCAATCTCTGGGAGATGGTGGAGGACAGGGATGGATGGACTCCTGCCTTGCTGGAGTTCATGGGGTCACAAAGAATCAGACCAGACTGAGTGACTGAACAATGAACAAGAATAACACAATTCTGTAAAGCAATTATCCTTCAATTACAAAATAAAATAAAAAAATTCAATAGCAGGAAACTGTACAAAAGAAAACCTCACTAACACAGATAATCATTGATATTTTGTGGGGATATTATTCTAGATAGACTTTTGTTATTTAGTTACTCAGTTGTGTCCAACTCTTTGCGGGCCCATGGACTGTAGCCCGCCGGACTTCTCTGTCCATGGGATTCCCCAGGCAAGAATACTGGAGTGGGTTGCCATTTCCTTCTCCAGACAGACTTTAATATATAGTTTAAAATCAGTGGAATCCTATTATAGATTTCATTTGATAATGTGCCTTTTGTTAGATGCAGCAGAATGCTTTGGCAGCTGCCTGACTATAAATATAGGTCTATGTTGCACTTTACTTTCATATTTATAGCTTCAGGAGTTGATATCTTTGATCATTTGTAAGATTGTCTCCTGGTGGCGAGGAAGAATATTTATGAAAAATTCTGATAACGTGTTGCCAGCTGCCCTCCAGAAAGGTTAAATCAGTCTGAACCCTTTTGCCCACACCCTTCCTGGTTGGGGTCCTGTCAGTTTTTATTTTGCTTAGTTGATGGATAATGGCTCTAAATAATCTTTTATTTGCCTCTCTTTCATTAATGGTGAAGCTGAATAGTTTTTCATATATTATCCATTAATAATTCCTTGTGACCTGTATTCTCTGCACAATTTTCTGTGGGGGTATTGCTTTTCTTTTTAATTTCTTATAACTCTTCAATTATTAAGAATGTTGGTTCCATTAAATGATGCAGAATAACTGTCCCCTTCTCTCAATTTGCTCTGCACATGGTGTGTTTTTTAAGCGCTTCCCAGGTGATGCTAGTGGTAAAGAACCCGCCTGCCAGTGCAGGAGACATAGCAGACATGAGTTCAGTCCCTGGTTGGGAAGATCCCCTGGAGGAGGGCCCGGCAACCTACTCCAGTATTCTTGCTGGGAGAACCCCATGGACAGAGGAGCCTGGCAGGCTACGGTCCATAGGGTTGCAAAGAGTGGGACGTGACTGAAGTGACTTAGCCTAGCCTATGGTGTGTTTTATGATGGTTTTAAAGTTTTAGATTGTAGTCAAATTAATGAATAGTTTCCTTCATTGTTCTGGCTTTTGTATTACCCTTTAAAGTTACTTTCTTTCAAAGCTTTTGTGAAGATTTACCCACATTTTCTTATTGGTTTTACTTTACTTTTTGATTTTAATGTTTACTTTTTTTCCCATCTAACATTTAATATGGGGAAGAATGGAACATTGACTCAATTTTTTTTCTAAATGGCTGCAAGTTTACCTCCTACTACTGAAAAATCCCTTTTATCAATTTGTTTGCTAGTTTAGTGTTATGAATAAATTTTACCCATATGTGCTTGCATTTATTTCTGGATCTGGTGTTATGTTTCATTTATCTGCATCTTTTAACACCATTAGTACTTCAATTTAAGCCAATATCACAGTAGCTTTAATAATGTACCTTAGTATCTGGTAGTACAAGTCTCAAAGTGGGGCAGGAGAGAGCACTGATATTCATATTCTTTTAGAAACCAACTGTTATCCCAGTAATCGAGGCTACATCTATAGAACTTCCTGAAAGACTTGTAAAGACTAGTGATTCTTAACATGTGATTCATAGACCACCTGTATCAGAATTACATGGGGATTTTTAACAATTGATATTCCTGAACCCACACAAGAGCTCCTGAAAATAAGCTGTGTTGAGGAAACTCTTTTTACAAGGTTTCAGATGATTTTTAAGAAACTTAACACTCTGATAAAACATGGTAAGCAGTAGCCAAGTTCCTCCTGTTTAAATGTTAAAGAACACTTCCTTTCATTAATTACATCTTTGTATTGATTACATGTGTACATGTAATCAGTTAAACATCCTGTCCCTAAATGTGTTTTGAATATTTATGTAGTCCAAGTGCTGTGTATAGGCTTCCCTCATAGCTCAGTCGGTAAAGAATCTGCCTTCTATGCAGGAGACCCCAGTTCGATCCCTGGGTCAGGAAGATCCCCTGGAGAAGGAAATGGCAACCCACTCCAGTATTCTTGCCTGGAGAATCCCATGGACAGAGGAGCCTGGCGGGCTACAGTCCATGAGGTCACGAAGAGTTGGACATGCCTGAGCGACTTAGCACACACAGTACTGTGTATGCTACGAGTACAAGGTTGGCACCTTGTATTTGAGATTTGACCTTCAGATGTGTAATCACACATCCCTAATTACACACACATGCACACCCATCAAATTCTTATATACTTTAGATCAAAGTATAGTTACTGCCCTAAAATAGCTTGCAAGCTTGCAAGCTAACTGCAGTTAGGTTGGGAAAAAAACATGTGAACAACTTGAATGAAATTCATGGAGAGCAGTTGGCTGGTTGCAAGATAATAAACAGAGAATGAGCTGGATGATGTGAGAAAGGGTAAAGAACCTCCAGCATTAAGTGGGGGCAAGCCAAAGAAGCCTTCCTGCATGGGAGAAAGACCAGCACTCCTATTGCAATAGAATTAAAGCCTCAGTAATTGAGGCCTTGCATTGAGAAGCAGAAGAACACCTTATTAAATCTATCTGTGCTTCCTGAATTTCTCATGCCATTCACTTGATACACTGGGATTGTTTTCTGCAAATTTTCTACCTGGACTGGTCTCTTATGGAAACACAGATATTTTTGTTCAACTCGCTTTCTTTGAAATGTGTTATTACCTTCACTTATGATCATATTGGGGTAGTGATCCTAGCGGACAAGACTGAACACTGAATACAGACAGGCTAAAAGATTCATGACTGTGCCTTTTTGTGTCTCTCACTTGCCTTTCCTTAGATTCAGGAGTACCCCATCGATGTCCAAAGCAACCAACTTCCCTTCCTGCGGAATCCAGATATCCTGGTGGGAGAAAATGACCTAACTGCCCTTAGCTATCTCCATGAGCCTGCAGTTTTGCATAATTTAAAGGTCCGCTTCCTGGAGTCCAACCATATCTACACTTACTGTGGTAAGTAGGGGGTATCTATTGGCTGTGTGTGTTTGAAAGTGGTTCCAATCTTTAGACTTTACATGTTAAACTCCAATGGTTAAGAATCCTACTTTCAGTCTCATTTGTATTAATAAGTACCTCTCACTTGAAAGTTTGCGATCGGTGAATGTGGCTTAGTTAGGCTGCCGTACATCTCTTTGGAAGGATTGGTGTTAAAGCTCAACCAGGGAAGCAATGGGCCATGGGCTTGATGGCTCAGGCGCAGCCCTGGAGTCAGTAGGAAGACAGTAAATCCATCCCAGGGTCCTGGCTCAGGCCTCTGCTCTCAATGCTGAGCGCACTGCTGCAAGTTTTTAAACTTAAAAAAAAAAAAAAAAAAAAACTTTATTTTATATCAGAGTATAGATGATTAACAATGTTGTTAGTTTCAGGTATACAACAGAGTGATTTAGTTATATATATAAACTGTGAAAGTCGCTCAGTCATGTCTGACTCTTTGCCACCCCATGGACTGTATAATCCATGGAGTTCTCCAGGCCAGAATACTGAAGTAGGTAGCCCTTCCCTTCTCCAGGGGATCTTCCCAACCCAGGGATCGAACCCAGGTCTCCTGCATTGCAGGCAGATTCTTTACTAGCTGAGCCACCAGGGAAGCCCCAGTTATATCAGTTCTATGAATGCGAAGTTGCTCAGTTGTGTCTGACTCTTTGCGATCCCATGGACTGTAGCCTACCAGGCTCCTCTGTCCATGGTATTTTCAGGCAAGAGTACTAGAGTGGGTTGCCATTTCCTTCTCCAGGGCATCTTCCTGATCCAGGGGTTGAACCCAGATCTCTCACCTAGCAGGCATGGCTTTACTGTCTGAGCCACCAGTTACATCAATCATGCATGTACCTGTATCTATTCTTTTCAAACTATTTTCCCATTTAGATTGTTATGTAATATTGAACAGGTACTGTAGGTCCTTGTTGGTTATCCATTTTGATTATAGCATGTGTGTATGTCATCCCCAAACTCCCTAACTTACCTACACTAGCCTTACCCCTGGTAACCTTAAGTTTGTTTTCTAAGTCTGTTTCACAGATAAGCTCATTTGTATACTTTTTTCCAGATTCTGTTCATAAGCAATATCATATAATATTTGTCTTTGACCTACTTCACTTAATATGACAGTTTCTAGGTCCATCCATGTTGCTTCGAATGTCATTATTTCATTCTTTTTAATGGCTGCATGGTATTCCATCATAACACTAATATTCCATTGTTTAATGTACCATAGTTTATCCATTCACCTATTGTAGACCGTGTTAGTTGCTTCTGAGTTTGGCAATTATGAATATAGCTGTTACAAACATTCATGTACAAGTTTTTGTGTGAATATGTTTTCTCTTCCTTTGGATAAATACCAATGAGTATGATTATTTGATCATATGATAAGATTATGTTTAGTTTCATAAGGAACTTCCAAAGTTACGGTGCCCTTTTGCATCGCCACCAGTGATGAAATAAGAGTTTGAGGTTATCAGTGTTCCGGATTTTGGCTATGCTAATAGGGGTGGAGTATCATCTCACTGGTGTCTTAACTGGCATTTCCGCAGTGCCTTATGGTGTGGAGCATCTTCTTCTGCTTCTTTCCCATCTCTGTATCTTCTCTGGTGAGGTGTTTCTTTAGGTCTTTTGGCCGTTTTTTAATCAGATGGTTCATTTCCTTATTGTTAGATTTTAAGAGTTCTTTGTATATTTAGAATTACATGGACTGTATAGTCCATGGGGTCGCAGAGTAGGACACAACTGAGCAGCTTTCACTTTTTTCACTTGTACATTTTGGGTAGCAGGCCTTTATCAGATGTGTCTATAGTTTGCCTTCTCATTCTCTTAACTGTACTTCTTCACCAAACACCAGAAGGCATCACAATGGCAGAGCTCTCCCATCTTGGCAGTGACCCTTTCCATTCCTGCTTTCTCTTCCCCAAAGGACTGGAAACGTTCACCTTTTTTATATGTGTCCATGGTTCCCTTGAGATCCAGAATGTTCTTTATGTGAAAGAAAAAGGCATGCATTTGTCTTATCTTCAGGATTGAATTGTTGGGTTTTTTTTTTTTTAACTCTTTTCACATTCTCAAATATCAGTTTACCTTGTCCTTCTATAAAAAATCTGAAGGGTTAAAGGACTTAATAACTCTTCAATGTGTATTTATTGAACCCATCTTCACATTGTGTCCTTTTGGGAACACAGGATGGAAAAAATAGTGAAATGAAAGATAATACATGGTATAATACAATGTGAGATAATAAAAAAAAATAGCTGACACTCAGTGCTTACTATGCAAGATGCTGGTCTGAATTGCTCTCTATGAAGCATTTTACCCTCAGGATAACCAGGGAAATGCAATTACCATCCCCATTTTGCAGTCCATGAAGCTAAGACACTCAGAAGTTAAGGAATTGGCAAAGTCACACAGTTAATATTTGAGCCAAGGTTTGACATTAAGATGTGTAATCACATTTCCCATTCACAAGTTGTTTGTATTTTAGTTAAGACAACCCATATACAAATGAGAAAATTAACAGTCCCTTTTAAAGATTTTAGTTTTGAGATTTTTTTTTTTTAAGCGTAACACCTATTGGCAGGGTTAAGAATCCTCTTTTTCTGATCCTACAGCAGTTTGTACGTATCTATTTTATGAATTCAGTTTGTTGAGCGTTTGTGTGTACGCCCATCCATATGTGCTTATTCATGCTCCAGGGTGTTTGAAAAGAGGCCTGACCTGTCCTTCTTTTCCCCATTAGGGCCTAGTAGAGTGCTTGATAAACACAGATACATCTTGATTTAGTTGAGTGATTGGTTAAGACTCATCCTGTTCATCTTCTCTTCTTTAGTTTTCATGTAAGTGAACAGGGACCTTTAAAACTCATGTCAGTATACTACCCAAGACAATCTACAGATTCAGTACAACCCCTATCAAATTACTAATGGCAGTTTTCACAGAACTAGAACAAAAATTCTTAAAATTTGTATGAAGTCACAAAAGACCCAGAATAGCCAAGGCAATCTTAAGAACGAAAAATGGAGCTGGAAGAATTAGTCTTTCTGATTTCAGACTATACTACAAAGCTGCAGTCATCAAAACAGTATGGAACTAGCACAAAAATAGAAATATAGATAGATGGAATAGGATGTAAAGCCCAGAAATAAACCCATGCACCTATGCTCAATTAATCTATGACAAAGGAGACAAGACTACACAATATTGGAAAAGCAGTCTCTTCAACAAGGAGTGCCAGGAAAACTGGACAGCTACATGTAAAAACATAAAAATTAGATTATTCTTTAACACCACACACACAAAAATAAGCTTAAAATGGATTAAAGACCTAAATGTGAGACCAGACATAAAAATCCTAGAGGAAAACATAGGCAGAACACTCTCAGATGTAAATTACAGCAATATGTTTTTCAATTCATCTCCCAGAATAATGGAAAATAAAAGCAGAAGTAAACAAATGGGATCTACGTAAACTGAAAAAGCTTTTGCATACCAAAGGAAACAGTAAACAAAACAAAAAAACAACCCACAAATTGGGAGAAAATATTTGCCAGTGATGTGACTGACAAAGGATTAGTCTCTAAAATTTACAAACAACTTTTGTTGCTTACCCTCATCAAAACAAACAATCAACAAATGAAAAGGCCTAAATAGACATTTCTCCAAAGAAGACATACAGATGGCCAAGAGGCACATGAAAAGATGTTCAACATCACTAATTATTAGTGAAATGCAAATCAAAACTGTAATGAGATACCACCTCACACCAGCCAGAATGGCTATTGTGACAAAAACCCCAAACGATTAGTGCTGGAAAGGGTGTGGAGGGAGAGACGGAAACTCTCCTACGCTGTTGGTGGGAACATAAATTAGTATAGCCGCTATGGAGAACAGATGGAGGTTCTTTTTAAGGAACTAAAAATAGAGCTACCATATATTGTTATGTTATATTGCATGTAACCCTGTAATCCCACTATTGGGCTTATATCCAGAGAAAAATATCCAAAAGGATACACGCATCCCAGTGTCCATTGCAGCACTCTTTACGGTATTTAAGACATGGAAGCACCCTAAATGTCCATCAACAGAGGAATGAATAAAGAAGATGTGGTAAATATATACAATGAAATATTACTCATGCATTTAAAAGAATGAAGTAATGCCATTTGCAGCAACATGAATGAACCTAGAAATTGTCATACTGAGTGAAGAAAGTCAGAGAAGGAGAAATATCATATGACATCCCTTATATGTGGAATCTGAAAAGAAATGATACAAATGAGCTTACAAACCAGAAAGGACTGACAGACTTAGAGAATGAACTTATGGTTGCCAGGGCAAAGGATGCAGGGAAGGGACATTTAGGGAATTTGGGATCAACATGTATACACTGCTGTATCTTAAATGGATAACCAACAAGGACCTACTGTATAGCACGTGGAACTTTGCTCAATGTTATGTGGCAGCCTGGTTGGGAGGGGAAGTTGGGGGAGAATGAACACACGTATATGTATGGCTGAGTTCCTTTGCTGGTTACATGAAACTATCGCAACATTGTTAATCGGCTATACTCTGATACAAAATTAAAAGTTTTAAAACAAATCTCATGTCAGGAAGCAGTCATGCTCTCAGAATCTGAGCGCAATGTCTATTCACAGGTATCGTGCTTGTTGCCATTAATCCTTATGATCAGTTGCCAATCTACGGTCAAGATGTCATCTATGCCTACAGTGGCCAGAACATGGGGGATATGGACCCCCACATCTTTGCTGTGGCAGAGGAAGCCTACAAACAGATGGCCAGGTAAGAATAACCTTAGCCCAGAAGTCCTCCTGGGTCATCAGAGGGTGGAACGGGGAGTGTCCACCTTCTTCGGCTGCTTTTTCTCAGTGGTGGGGTGGTGATTCTGGGTTTGAAGTGTTTTGGAAACCAAATCAACCTCAGGTTCTTTTCTTAACCACATTTCCTCAAGTCTTCATCTTCTTCTTATGAACCTGAGCCTAGGCTTGGAGAGCAGTGGGTCCTTAGACTCTGATGAGCAGTGCAGTTAATGCCTTGTGTCTCATCTCTCCTTGACTTCCTTTTGGCTGTCTTGCCTCTTCTCCAGGTGTAATGAATCCATTTTATACCATCTCCATTCATTTTACAGATCTCACTGAAGGCTCCGTTTTGAAAGAACCAAGACTCTGGCAACTTCTTAAAATGCCAGGCATTTGGGGCAGAAATAGAAGCTTCAAATTAGCAGTCAAGCGTAGTGGTTTCAGAGTTTTAGCCTGAAAGTGGTGTTCTGTTTAGACACTTAAGTGGGTCTCATGTTGCTCTTCTTATTCTAACTCAGAGAGATAGCTGCAGGTCTGTTTCATCAGAAAGTAGGCTAGGTGAGTGTATTAGTCAGAGTTCGAGTATGTGTGTGTGTGTGTGTGTGTGTGTGTGTGTGTGTGAAGAGAGGGTTTTTTTTTTTTCCATTTATTTTTATTAGTTGGAGGCTAATTACTTTACATCATTACAGTAGTTTTTGTCATACATTGAAATGAATTAGCCATGGATTTACATGTATTCCCCATCCCGGTCCCCCCTCCCACCTCCCTCTCCACCCCATCCCTCTGGGTCTTCCCAGTGCACCAGGCCCGAGCACTTGTCTCATGCACCCAACCTGGGCTGGTGATCTGTTTCACCCTAGATAATATACATGTTTCAATGCTGTTCTCTTGAAACATCCCACCCTCGCCTTAAGAGAGGGGTTTTTATTTTAAGAAATTGGCTTGTGCAGCTGTTGGGGGTTGGCATGTCCAAAATCTGCAGGATTAGGCTGGCAGGTTGGAGATCCAGGGAAAGGATGGTACAAGATTTTGAGTCTGAAGGCAATCTACTGGCAGAATTCTCTTTGGTGGGGATGTCAGAGTTTTTTGTCTCATGACCTTCAACTGATTGGATGAGGCCTACCCACATTATGAAGAGTAATCTGCTTTTCTCCGTGTCTACTGATGTAAATGTTAATTTCGTCTTAAATGAAAAAACAAAAACAAAACACCTTTATAGCAGTATCCAGACTAGTGTTTGGCCAAATGTCTGGAAACTGTGGCCTAGCCAAATGGACATGTAAAATTTACCACCATGCTGTTCTTGAACTGTCAAGGTATAGTATAGGGAAAGATAGTTTTACCAAAGTTTTGGTGGAAATGCATTTTCCAGTTAACAGTAATATGCTGGATCCTTTCAGCTCAGTCTTTCTTGCCCCCTCTCAAGAACATCTTACAGAGCTAGCAGGAAAAGCAGGAGTGCTTTGTGGGGAGCAGGACTGTGTAGAGAGGAGTGAGAGGGAATCCCATTTAAGATGGTCAGTGCTGCCGTGGATGTCAGAGTATAATTTTCAGCCCAGTAAAAGTTTCCATGAGGAAAAACTGTTCTGTAAGCTTCCTTACTAGTTTATAATGTCTTGTTGCTGGCTGTGGAGATCGGTGTGTAAAAGATCTGCTTCCTCATAGAAACACAATGACCATATTTAATATGAGCAGTGATCAGAGAACAGAAACGGTATAAGTAGAATGATCTACAACTGTTTCATTTCTCCAAAATGAGCTAAACACGACCTTTGACCTCTCTAATGTCATAAGAAGGCCACATACCGTGTTCTGGGCGTGACCAGGAGTCCCTTAGCTTGGTAAGCCGTGGAGGCACACACTGCAGACTTCAGTGTGGTTCAGGGCCGTGTCGCGGGGCGGGGAGGGGTGAGGGGTGGTGTGACGCAGCACGTGGCCCCGCTCCAGTGCGTGCACAGTGCAGGGGACCTGGGGCCTGGGCAGGCTTCTGTGTCTCGGGAGAAGCACTTACGCCGAGTCCTCGCTTGGTTCATGTGAAGAAGACCATCCTTACTGCTTTACAGATGGTGTCCTTATGGTTCTGAAATGGAAGGTGACTGTGGCCTGGTTCCAACAACTTCTACCATGCTACAGGTTCTGCCAGCTCCCTGAGACTGTCCTCTCATGGATGTCCTTGATGTTAGTTTCCATCCCATTTTGCTCTCCTAGCTAGTTGCACTTAGATGTATCAGAAGTTTGTTTTCTTTTTTAATTTTTAATTGGAGGATAATTACAGTGTCACATTGGTTTCTGCCAAACAACTTTTCTTTATCAGACTTCTTGAGGCTCCCCTACAGCTTTGAGAACCCTCTTGCCTCCAGCTTATAGATCCTCTTGACTGAATGCCTCCATTCTTTCTACGCATGAAGCTGTGCACACAGTTACTCTACTCTCAGTTTATTTCACTTGTTTGGGTCCTTGTTCATGCCCATTAGTGGGAAGGGACAGGGGTGGGCATCCAGGGTGGTGGTGATATGATCTTGCTTAGGGGAATGCATTTGTTGATTAAGGAGTTTGGATTCTAAAGTTGGACAAAGAATTGCTTAACTAAGGGTTTTCTTTAAGGTCTTAAGGTTTATAATCGTTTTACCCACCAAGTCCCAGGGCGTAGAAAATAATACTGCTGAAATTCTTGTGCAATTTTTGCTCATGAACGTGCATAAGAAGTATAAGGCCAGCACATGTGGCTCGGGGGAGAGAGCTATTTTTGAATAAGTTCTGATGTCAGCAGCTCAGGGTTTCTGCTATTGATCTGAGGGGCATGTTAGAAGCCCCAGCAGAATCTTTGCAGGGAAACAGGGAGACTCACTGGTCAGATGCAGGGACAGTTTTTGCTGTATTTCCATTCTGGGCCTTCACTGTCAACTTCGAATACTAAACACACTCACTTTACAATTCGTCTGCCAACTGTGTGGTGTGCTTCCTGACTCATCAGTGAGTTGCTGAAATGATTGTTATGTGGATCAAGTCACCGTGGTATAACACAGTGTGCTTTGAATCTGAGCCTCCACAACAGCTGGGTGATTAAGGGTACAAGAAGCTAACGTTAAGGACTCCTAGCCCGTGGTGACAGTGACTCAGTTGACCTTGGACTCAGCAATTCTCTCTCTTGATTCACTGTGGACTGGATTTTCTTTCTTAATGTGGTTCACTCTAGGTCTCTCCAACTCACAATGCCTTGAGTGTATGAGGGAAGTCTGTCAAAGCTCCAAGGGATAAATCCAGACCTTCATCCCCACCCCGAGAGTTCCTGCAGAGTCTTGTGCTGGAAAGGATGAGGAGACACAATGGCAAGACGATTGGTTCACTGTCCCTACCCTTGTTGACCTCAGATGAGGCTTGAGAGTACATGGAGACTTACAGTGAATAAAAGGGTTGAAGTAACTTGAAACATCAAACTTGTGAATTCTGCCTTCTACATAAGAACCTATAGTTCCCCGTGAGAAATGGGACTGACCATAGCTTTATTTCTGCTCCTCCCTTGTTCATGATCCAAAATGCCCTTTCTCTCACTTTTACCTACCCTCATTCTAGCCTCAGTTCCTGGGTTAAATCACATCAGCCAACATTTGCAAAGTATCAGTGATTTGACAGGCTCCTTGCTAAGTGAACACTAGGAAATGTGAGACCTCTCTCCACTTCTTAAGGTGTCCACAGTCTTTCTGGAGAGAGAGGACACAGTAGACCAAAAAGCCTGCAACTGCAGGAAGTGTAAACCAAAGTCACGCTCAGGGTCGTTTGAATTGAGTTTGGGGATGATTGTCACATCTGGTCCAAGAAAGTGTAGTGTTGAAGCCGGATCTTGATGAATTGCTCAGATTTATAAGGTGAGATGCAGACATCTAGGTCGGTGGAAGAGAATGATCATTACCCCAACAGTGGGGCCTCAAAAAGCACAAAACCTTAAAACTAAAGCACATAGTCACAAAACCATAGCCACATGTACTTCACACCCCTTAGGATGTTTGTAGTCGAAGACTTCACAGGTGTTGGCAAGGATGTGGAGAAATTAGAATCCTGATACACTGCAAGTGGGAATGTAAGATGGTGCAGCTGCTTTGCAAAATAGTCTGGCAGTTCTTCAAAAGTTTAGACAGTGCTATCGCATGACTCAGCCATTCTGCTCTTAGATATGAAAACACATTCCAAGAGAAATGAAAACATATTCACACAGAAACTTACCGACATTCATATTTAATGGAATGTTCACATAGAATTGTTCACAGTAGCCGAAAGGCAGAGGAAAAAAATCTAAAAATCCATCAACCAACCAACTGGTAAATAAAATATGGGTATACCCATACAGTGGAATATGGCACATAAAAAGGAACAAGATATGATACACGGTACCACAGGGATGAACCTTGAAAACATGCTCAATGAAAGAAGCCAGACATGAAAGAACACAGAGTGTGATTCCACTTATATGAAGTGTCCAGAATGGACAAATATATAGAGGGAGGTAGATTAGTGTTTGCCCAGGGCTGGAGGTTCAAGGGGGAATGGGAAGTGATTGCTGATCAGTATGTTTTTTTGGTTTTGTTTTGGTGGGGGCTGGTGGTGAAAATTTTCTGTAATTGATTGTGTGGATGGATGCACAACTCTGCAAATGCACTGAAACCCATTGAATTGTGTACTTTAAATGGGTGAATGTGTGTTCTGTGAATTATATCTCAGAAAAGCTATTATTCACAAAAGGCATGGTCAGGGGACAGTGCCCAGGAAAATTTAACCTATGTGATAAGTGGGTCTAGGTTTGGTGTGGACTATTCAGTTAGAGACAGGGTGACTGGACTTGGGAGGAACCTGAAAGCTGGAGTGAACTTTGGCAGAAAAGTGTGTTCTGTTAACACAGGGTACAGAGATGGTCAGTTGAGTTCAGGAAACCCTGGATTAATCAAGTGAAACATCTGCCTTCAAGGCAGGGGTTTTCAGAGCAGCTAT